GCAGGATTCATGTCTGTAGATACGTGCCCCCATTGTTCGAAATCTACAGTGTTAAGTATGTCTGACACCCTGTTGCTCACGAAAGTGTTCCACCTGCTTGGCCCACCCTTTAGCCAAGCAAGTACAATGGTGGAATCTGTCCACGCAAATAACTTGTTTTTAGGCACACACATCACTTGAGATGTTTCTAGTATTAGTTTAGCCGCTAACGCCGCACCGCAGATTTCCAATCTTGGAATTGAGACTTGTTTCTCTATTGGTGCTACCTTCGTTTTGGACGTTATAAGACTGACGTATACTCTCTCTTCGTCTATGACTCGCATGTACACTACTGCTCCATATGCGGCTTGCGAAGCATCTGCGAAGACGTGCAACTCTACACTTGATGTGTTACTATAGTGTAGCCATCGTGGTATGCTAAGGCCTATGATGTGTGCTAAATTCTCCCGATATCGATTCCACTCGGCTAGCAAGACACCGTCAATAGGCTCATCCCATTCGAGCCCTGTCTTCCACAATTTCTGCATGATAATCTTTGCGACTACTACAACGGGAGCTATCCATCCCAAAGGATCATATAGCTTAGCTATTTCGGAAAGAATAGTTCTTTTAGTTGCAGGTTGTTGAGGCTCCGGCAAGTTGACTGTGTATTCAAAACTATCGGTTTCACGATTCCAGTTTACGCCTAATACTTTAACAACATTATTGACCTTTAAAGGTAACTCATGATCGTCACAATTATTCTTTCCGATGTACTGTAGAACAGCTTTACTGTTACTACTCCATTTTTGTAGTTGGAATCCCCCAGAGTTCATTAAGCTGTTCATCTCGTGGTATATTTTCACTGCGTGCTCTTCTGTGTCGCAGCCAGAAAGCAGGTCATCCATGTAATAGTCAGACATTGTTATTTGTGCAGCGATAGGACAAGTTGACTGCCCCTCTTTAGCAAGTGTTTGTAGAGACTTCACAGCGAGGTATGGTGCACAAGCAGTGCCAAAAGTTAATCTTAAAAGTTTGAAGTGTTTAATAGGCTCGTCGGGTGAAGACCTCCACACTAATCTCTGATAGTCTGTGTCAGCATCTGATACTCTAACCATTCTATACATCTTAATTATATCAGATGTTATGCAGATTCTGTGTGTTCTCCATCTCATTAAAATGTATCGCAACTCTTGCTGAAGTTGAGGTCCAACACACAAGTTATCATTTAAAGACACGTTATTTGTACCCTTGCAGGAAGCGTCGAACACTACACGAAGCTTTGTAGTCAACTTGTCTTCTCGCAACACTGCGTGATGAGGAAGATAGACAGCCGGTTTATCAATTTCTGAAGGAGTGATTTCTACCATGTGATTTAATTTTAAATATTCATCCATTACTTTACGGTATTCATCTTGCAATTTAGGATTTTTTGACAACTTT